ATGGAGAGTTTGAAGCACAGAAAGCAAACGTTCCAAGTGTTCCCCAACCTTTGTCTGTCAAGGCTGTTGTCGCCGCCTCGGACAGCCCTGTGGCTTGGCAGCGTGACTTGAACAGCGCTGTGCTGTCCACCATGGTAACCCTTTGGCTACGCACTAACTGACGCAGGTTGAAAAGAAATGAAAACACCTGTAAACACCTACAGTGACCAAAGTGACAAGACATGCACTTTTGCAATTGCTGTGACTGCCGATCTAAAGTTTTGGACCTGACCGCGCTCCCTTAGTCTGGCGCCTTTGAGCCGACTTCTGGTTTCAAAAAAAATCAACATGCCACATGGTGATCAACCTGAAACTCACTCCATTCAATCTGCTGAAAATTCTGCAATTCATCGTTTCATGCTTAGTCGGACAAGCTCTTTGCTTTTGGCTCCTGGCGCTGAGCGTCGACTCGTTGTCAGACACTGTTGGCCCATAGTGCGCATACCCTGGTGTTACGCTGTCCAAGTCAACACATGAAACCACTCATCACGAAGCATAAAAACAGTTGATTGAGTATGCAACTAACAAGGTTTTGAAAAAAAAATGCTCTTTGAGTGCTGTTGGACAAAGTTCATTCTGAGGTCTGTGCAAAGCCTCTTTAGGCATTGGCTGTCCACCACGCTAACATCAAGCCGGTGACAAATTGGCAACTGAACTTTTGATGCATTGACATGTGACTGCTCACACTCATCCTATCCAACTGCAACACTCAATCAACAAGCAAGAAGATGAAACTGCCTAAACTGAGGGCCCGACACCTACAAGTTGAAACAAAAGCCAACGCAATGACATGTCACTGAGTGAAACAACGTTTGCACTTTGTTGGCAGGAAAGATTCAGCAGGTCCTATCTCAACGAATTTCAGACTGAGTTTTGAGGTTGAATTGAGCCTGGTCCTATCTCAACAGGTCTCCCAGGTGAGGGTGGGAGGGTACCAAATTTCAGACTGAGTTTTGAGCCTGGTCTCCCACAAATAAGGTATTCCGAAGGTGATCTTTGATGAGCCATCATCCAAGTGTTGTAAACTGAAAACCATCGAAAAAAACTCAGGAAGCAGTAAACCAAATACAAAGTTGCCAAACAATCCAAATGATCTGCCAAAGTGAATCCAGCTGAATGACTTCGAAGGATTTGAAAACCAGCTAAAACAGTGGCCACTCCAAATAATCAAATCGTTTCTGTTTGATTTGTTTCCAGGTTGTGCGGGAGCAATCGCGGAAGGAAGGAGCACCCAGAAACACCGCGGGAAGACAAAGAGGTCGCATAGCGGCAAGAGACCGATCCAAACAGCAAGAACCAACCCGGCACACACATGCACGACGCAACCAACCCCACCCCTGCAGACAAACGACTGAGGCAAGCCTAAGCAGCTTGTCTTACGTGGAGGGGACCCCAGAAGATGTCTACAAGGAAAGGGATGGAAACCAGTTGGTTAGTGAGCGCGTGCGTGTGTGTGCAAGGTTAGTTACATGTAACCCTTGTAAAACTGAAATCACAAAAGGCCAAAAACTGTCGAAGCTGAAACTGACCGAAATGTGGAATGCAAACACTGTAAAACACATCACATGAAATGCTGAACTCTGAACGGCTGAAGCTTCACAAATCACCTCTTTTTCAAACCAGGGGTGTTGGACATCCTGCCACACTTCTGCGTGGTTCTGTCTTCAAGGCCAAAATGCGGCCAACTGCACATATGGAAGTTTCAAACTTTCGCTCAAGCATTTGTACCAGAAAAGATCGGCAAAGTAAAACGCATTGTCATTGCATTGTAAAACTGTTCACATCGCACTGCATCTGTCCAGAGATCGCCCTTCTTTAGGGACAGGATGCCCAATCACCATGCTGTCTTTGCCGACAGCCTTTGACGCTTTGTCTGCTTGCCTTCCGTTAACTTCAGATCCACCTGGCTTTCACGCAGCTCAACAAACTCATCTCTCGCTTTGCACAAGGTTCTGAAGAAATCCAACGGAACATCCGCAAGTGAAATGGTAACCCTTTTGTTCGAATCGAAAAGGCTGAAGTCTCCATTGGTAATTGCATCTGCCGGGACGTTCTGCTCCCGGGGGCGCCAACGCAGTTTCATTCGTGTGCCCCCCGCAAGCAATTCCGAAGAGACCTGCATGTGAACTGCAAGGAGAGGCCACTTCGTCGACATGTTCTTATCCTGCAAGCCTTGATTTGCCTTGTTGTCTGTACCACCAGTTATGGCCATCCTCAAATTCGTGGCCTTCCCTTTCTGCCCAAGGTGCCCAAAGGCTAGCGCCGCCACGTAAGAAGCCAAAAGTTCAGCCGCCGTGGAGCACCATTGCGAAGAGCCATCTTCCTTGAACAACATTGGCAACTGTTCCGGTCCCACTTCCAGACAAAACCACTTCGCCAGTTTCAAGTCCTCCACGCCAGCGCTTGTGCACCAGCCAGCCAATACGATCCTTCCTTTCTCGCACTTTGCGTCAGTCCTGAAGGATTCCCTCGGGGCCGTCCACGGGGCCGTTGCATTCACCCAGTGTCCATGGACCTGTAGCTGCTCGCGCAAGAATCTCAGTGTGATGAAAACCATTGCCGGAACACGAGTCACTGTCCCTCGTGCCAAAACTGCCGACCAAGAAAACAAAGGTGCAAGGAAAGGCTTGAGCCATGTGACAACCCTAGCCACGAAAGACATGCGGCCGGTAAACTCCACAAAGGACCGACCCAGCACCATCCAGCCCTGCTGTTCCACGCCATTGATCCACTGAATGACCCAGTCGGCGCGCTTGGCGGAAATGCCAGCCACACACCGGTCATACTGCAATTGGTATCCAACGTATTCCACTGCCAGACCACCCTTGAACTTCCGGTATGAAAAGGGGGTGCCCATGACCTCATATGCCAAAATGCTCAACCATAATGTTGTAAACTTCTCCGGACCCAAACACAAAATGTGCACATCGTCCACATATGCCAATTGCATCGACCAGCGTCTGTCCAAAATCCTAAGAACCCAGCGCCCCACACAACCAAACAAACGCGTCCACCAGTATGCAGCACTTGAGACTCCAAACGTTCCCACACAGTTGAGCCACAATGTTCGAGAGTCAGTGCTGGCTCTGCAGGCCAGTCTGCCCCAGTCCTTCTTCCGGACCAGTACGCACCTGTGTGCCTGGGCAATGTCTGCTGAGAGGCAAAATGCCGACTCCTTCGACTCGGCCGCCATTGCAACCAGTTCAATGACCTCCTCAGGGCCGGGCACCTCCAGTCTATCCAAAATTCGAATTTTGTTATTCAAGTTTATGCCATGTGTACCATCATGCAATGGTCGTATAGTGTTGTCGGGCTTCTGTATCGCTCCCATAGCCGCCACCAAGACAGCTCCTTCGCCAAACTCCTGCTTCGCTTCGGCCAGTGTAGTTGGGATCATGCGCCCCATCTGCTCATCCTTCCGGAAGTGGTCTTCCAGTTGCTCCGAAGACATCTCTGCAGTAGAGTAGTTTTTCATATCCGGTTGGAACTCTGTGATGTCAAGCTGCCGAAACTTTTCTCGCTTCCTGAAAACTTGAGGTGTCCTAGGAAGTTCTTGTTCCATCCCAACTGGAACGCCTTTCGCAAAGCACTCCTCCCCCTGTACCAGAATCTCCCAGTCCGGGTCTCCCAACTTCTTTAAGGATTCTGCTAAAAGGTGCAGAAAGAACGGTTGCCTTGCCGGGCATTCCAAAAGGGGGCCCTCTTCGCCAGGTCTCAAAACAGCCGCGATCTTACGCCTCAAGTCCTGAAGCTTGTCTTTGTCAAACGGTGAGCATTGATGATGCCCCAGGGCCAGCCGAAAGGCTTCAGTCCTCAAGTCTCCAACTTCTTCTTTCAAGAAGTCCAGTAATAACCTCTGTACCTCCAGTGCATGGTTCACGGCCTCAGCATCTGCAAGTTTATTCCTAGCACCCGGAAGCCATCGTCCCGGGGAGCAAAGTCCAAACCCATCTGTGAACTCCCGCTTGCAGTGTTCATAGCGGCACACAATAGGTTGGCCCATGCACGCTGAAGTCTTCATGTCAAAGGTCTCTGTCTCTTGCTGCTCTGTAACTTGGTTTTCAGATGAAGAGGATCTCACCTCCTCCACTCGTTCTCCTTGCTGTTGTTGTTGCCCTGCAGGTGGTGGACAAGAAATCAACGTGGCTGTGGGCTGTACTGTGGAAGGTGCAGTGGGTTGTTCCACTGTAGCATGTACCCCCTGCAACGCCATGCAAAGTGGTAAAGCAGAAATGACATCCAGAGCAATGTCTCGGCACATGGCTGCTGGGTACGCTGCTGAATCTGCTGTGTTCCATTTCTGCAACTGAACATTGAAACCCAACAAAGGTTCATGAAATTCATGCGGACATCTTCCCAGTGGTCCGCTGTAAAAGCCATTTTCATCAAAGGTGGGCCATTGCTGTCCATGCTGGAGGCAGCTGGGCAAGTTAGACATCAGCCTTGTCGGTTTTGAAGAAGGTGCCCCGAAAATGCATTGATGTATTGGCCAACATGCTGCTGATGTCAACTCTGCCAGTTCGCGCACAACTGGCAACTGCCAAATTGAAGCTGGTGTGTCCCCGGACTTGGTTTTGCCTAAATCTTCCGGATGCTCACCCCAGAAAAATTTGTTCTGTAAATGCATTCGTCTTGCAGCCTCCAGGCATTGGAAAACAAAGAAATTCGCAGTTTGTGCTGTTTCCTGGTCTTGTGTACGCAGCCATGGAAACCCCAGTGGCCACGCAGCCGACCGTAGCGGTCGTGGTCCGCCATGTTTGAAGTTGTGCCTTGCTCTGCTGAATGTGTTGCAAGGCGGCGACCAAAGCAAAACGTCCACTTTCCCCTGATCGATTTCGGAATACAAATCATCCCAAAGCTTTGTCTTAGACAGATCATGAGAATGATGCAATTCCAAATCCAACTCTTTTAATTCAAGGTGAAACTGATTATCGGCCAGACTTTGCAAATGTTCCCTAATATCACCACGCCTTGAGGCGCCAGCAAATAAATAGACCACCCGCAATGTCGGCAGATCGTCTGACGTTTGTCAGTTTTTGTTGTTGGGAGGTGTTTCATTCCCCCCTTTCTGCATCAAACCTTGGTAGTGCTGCCACATCGGATGCGATTTCCCGCATCCACGCACTCTGCAAACATGAACCCTGTTGCAACCACCACTGCATCCCTGAGCATTGTATGCAAAGCAAATCTGCCTGTTGTCATCTGTAAATGAAACAAGTGAGTGCTCTGAATTGCCTTTTCCAGACTGCTTCTGCTTCGACTTGCCCTTTCCACCTTTCTTTCCATTGCCCTTGTACCACTTGTGTGGTGGATTCTGCCAACCAGAACCCTCCGGTCTCCTCCAGCCTCGGCCGTTGTTGCCGCCCCCGTGAAACTCTTCTGTTCTCGGCGCTTTGCCCTGCAGTGCAATGGGGCTGGTAAAGTATTGCTCTTTGAGCTGTGCGTCCATGCAAACCTCCTCCAAGCACTCTCTAAGTGGCAAGCTCTTTCTGTATGATCTCTTGATTGCCTCCTTTCGGAGTTCAAATTCATAGGACAACATGACGCTCCATGGGGGCCTCAAAGACACCAACTCTGAGCTCCCGGCTGCCGCTGTAGTTCCTGGAATTTTCAACAAGTAGCACTTGTCGCCTAACAAGTAGTTGACATACTTCAGCCAGTCATCTGGTTTCAAGCCTTGCATCATCGGGTTGTTGCGATACTTTGCTGCCAAATAGCACCAAGTGTTTCCCTCAACTCTGAGGATCGTGCGGAGCTCCTCAGTTCCCTGTGGCAGCTGTCCCTTCTGGCGACTCTTTACAATTCTCACATGCCCTGCACTGTCAACTGTTGTTTGAATGCCCATGGTCTTGGCCGTCTTCTTACTAGTTACCTCTGTCAGGTATGAAGCAACCGGTTCATGCGCTTCCATCTCTTCAATCTTTGCAGACAAGTAATCATCTGAAGGTTCAAAGGTTTCTTCAATCTCACCATGTGTTGCTATGTAAGCTGCACGCATTGCCGCTCTGTCAGTCTGGGTCACAGGCCGTGTCACTCCAAGCAAACGTGCCTCTGCTTTCAACTCAGCCTGCTTGGCTGCATACTCCTTAGATGCCTCCCAAGCTGCTACAACACCAGCAACTGCAGCCCTATTTTGAAGGCTGTTCTCCTCCACTTGAAGGTCATCTCTAAGTGCCTGCCTCACACCTTGTCTGGAATCTGCAATCGCACTGAAGCGTCTGAGTTGGGTGAAAACCTGTGTGAGGTTATATTGCAACGCCAACGGCACACCATTCTCCTGCAAAATGAAAGCCAAATCGCCTTCAACCTTGTCATGGATATAAGTCCGCATGGCAGCATCGTTCACCCCGTCTGGGGGATTCATGGCCAGTATTTGACCTTGCTCGTTGAGCCTGAAACTACATAGGGAATCTCGATCTTCTTCCCATGTTGTGCTTTCAACTCTTCACTGCTGAAATCCAACAATTCCGCTTTGGGATCCCGGTCTTTTCTCCAGGAATCTTTTGCACAACGATTTCAACTTTCTCCATCCAAACTTTCCTACTGCTCTTTCCAAAAGAAACGATGCAATCTCTGAGAACTCAAATTGAAAACAGGAAACTGCACGCAATCAAGATTTTCCACTCGCAAATGAAAACTCAATCAGGATGCAACTGCGACTAGGGCCATTACCGTCAGTCGCTGCTACTGGTGCTATCTGAACTCGAGGGATCCTGACTGACCTCCTTAAGCTTCGGCTTGCAAAGTTTGCAAATTGCATCCGCAACATCTCCACTGAGACTGTAAATGGGTTGGGTGACAAGACAACGTTCCTGCCGCACTGCACATGATTTTGAAACATGCAACCTTCTGAAAAATGATTTTCTCGAAATCGTGATAAAGTAAGGCGCCTCAGGAAGAACATCATCGTCCTGTGTCCCTTGTTCCTTCCGTTCTGGTTCATCTTCCATGGCATCAACAACTGGAGCAATCTGCAAAAGCGGAAAAGTGCCACCAACATGCCATGCCCCCATGTTCAAGCTCCAGACCATGACATTGTGCCTTCGTGCCGTGGTCACCGGTCCTGCATTCACCTGAACAGCAAAAGACTTGATGCGCTCCATGAGTTCCTCCTCCACCAAGCCAGGTGCAGGTACGCCTTCAAGAATGAATTTACAAACCTCTCTCTGAACACGATGGACTACTTGCCTTGAAGTCAAAACATAATCTTGTGAGCCATGTTTTGCATAGCTCCACCTGCCCAAGTAATCCCTACTTTCTTTGCTGATACCGGCAGCTGCTGCCCAGGAAGGTAAAGTATGCCTAGCACTGTGTCCAGTCCAAAATGACGCCATCTCAGGTGCAATGAGCATGATCCCAGGGTTGAGAGCCAGACTGCCACCTCGCCTGACCACTGTCGGCAACGTGAGGAGAAGCTTTCTCAGCATTGTTGCTAATCCTTCAGGTTCTAAATACCGTCGCTCTGGATCATCCCATTCATTTCTGAAAGAAATTGCAAAGAAATCTCTCCGAAAATTCAGCTCATCATGTTCCAACAAATCAATACCAACACGCAGCCAATCAACTCCACTCAAACTAACATCACGTGCAATGAAGCCATGAAGTTCACCTACTGGTTTACCTGGTCCACTGGTCTTAGTGCGGCGCAAAATGAACTTGAGCCCCAACTGAGAGAGCTCCATAGAGGAAGGATCCACATTCTGCAAATCATCGCACCGCATGGTGCCCCAGAGCAGCAGCAATAAAACGAAAGCACAAAATCTCTGTCCCAAAGGTGCTGCGTGATGTCCCAACAAGAGTTCACAGCTCAACGCAATGGCCACTGTATACAGATCTGCCTGCTTCTTCGGACCTGCATCTCGGCTCAAGTCTGCTGTCCATGACTTGACAGATTCCAGCCACAATCTATCGCCAGAAAGTCTATGCTCTGCCGGCACTTGTCCAACCAGCTCCAGTAGCGAGAGAGTCGTATGAATTGAAGTAGGGACCGTCTTACCCATTGGTTGCACTTCATTGCGCTCCTCCAAATATTGTAACATGACTGCCACACTCCCTGGCCACGGCGATCCAGTTGTCACCAGAAGCCAATCTCGCACCCGCTTCCAAGCCTTTGCACGATTGCGCAGGGTCTTCGACCGACGCGCTCCAAAAGCTCGTACCCAAGCGGCATTGACATTCGCCAATCCGTCGAAGGTTCCTACTGCGGGCAATTTCGCCTCAGTGATATATTCAGCCAGAACCAGCGCCCATCGTTTCTTTGAAACTTCTTCAGCATCAGCCCGTGCCGTGGCACTAGTCTTAGGCCTCTTTGCCAAATGACTCTCCAGCGCAGCCAATCCCAAAAGGGGACTACCAGAAATAATTGATTCATAGCTATCCGCCATGGTGATACCAATGTCAAGTGAATCAGATTGTTTCCCATGCTCCAAACGTTCCTTGACGTCTGACAATCGCAAACGTTTCAAACGATTCCTTGTATTGTTTTGCCATTCCACCAGTGCCCCAGCTATCGCCTCTCGTCTTGCAGCTCCATAACTGTTAGCTAACGCTTCTTCCACCAATGCCCGGGCACCTCTCAGATCATCGAATGCAGTTGCTACCTGTTGTTGTGAAGGAAAATGGATGCGTAAAGCCTTCACCAACGTGCTATCTATTCTTTCCAGTTCTGTCCAACTATCCATGCGCTCGAAGAGTCCCTAGTCCCTATCTACCAAATTTCAGACTGAGTTTTGAGCCTGGTCTCCCACAAATAAGGTATTCCGAAGGTGATCTTTGATGAGCCATCATCCAAGTGTTGTAAACTGAAAACCATCGAAAAAAACTCAGGAAGCAGTAAACCAAATACAAAGTTGCCAAACAATCCAAATGATCTGCCAAAGTGAATCCAGCTGAATGACTTCGAAGGATTTGAAAACCAGCTAAAACAGTGGCCACTCCAAATAATCAAATCGTTTCTGTTTGATTTGTTTCCAGGTTGTGCGGGAGCAATCGCGGAAGGAAGGAGCACCCAGAAACACCGCGGGAAGACAAAGAGGTCGCATAGCGGCAAGAGACCGATCCAAACAGCAAGAACCAACCCGGCACACACATGCACGACGCAACCAACCCCACCCCTGCAGACAAACGACTGAGGCAAGCCTAAGCAGCATGGCTGATAAGCTTCCCACACTTAGTGCTGGACAGCTCCCCTTCACCATCGGGGAATCCACCATCACCTTCCATAAGGTGATAAATCCCGCTGATCTTATGCCTGAAGACCTTCGAGTCCGGTCCCACAGCTTGCTCCAGCAGACCAGAGATGGCCTTCCCAGCAACATCCAAGTGATGCTCGTCTTCCTCATGATCGCTGTCAACATTGTCCTCTGTGGCCGAAGACTGCACTTCAAATTGCACTCCATCATCCCCAGAAAAGTCTGACAGGTCATTGTCATCGTGCTTCACAATGGGGGGGGCTTGATCTGTCAAGCCACTGTTGCCAGTGTCTCCAAAAAGGCCAGATTCTCCATCTCCTTCCATGTCTACTCTTTGCCAGCTCATGTCAGCCGAGTCTGCCTGACCTGCTTTCGCCAGCGCATCCAGCGCCTGCTCAAGTGATCTGCACCCGCGCCATCGCCCTGCCCTTGTCGAGTCTGGCACAAACATTTCTGAGTAGATCGCCAGCAGCATCCCTTCTATGAAGTGCACCACAGGCGCCTGACTGTCCCTGCTGTACTCCAACGCACTTTTGCTGCCAGGGTCTACATGATACCCAGCTAGTCGCTGAATGTCACCTGGGGCATGTGCCTTACACATCCAAGACAACACAGTGGCCTTGGCAGAGTGAGTGCCAATGGCTTGGGCTGGATGAACCAGCCGCTGTTCTCCCAAGACCTCTCGCAGCCACATTGCCGCCTCAGATGGCCCAAGAGGAAGCGAAGACCATCCACCTCCATGCACTGGCGCCGGCATTGTTGGCTTGCCGACTCCAGCAGTCAACCCATGAAGTTCTCTGTGGTAAAGCCACCCAGTAGCCCACTGGTGCCTAGATACACCAGGCACCGGGCATGCAACCGGAAGCAAGCGCCTCGCTGACTTCGTCCTCCCAGCCGTCTTGTGGTGGTACAACCTGGCCTCCAAGTAAGAGAACTCTTGGCCTTCGTCCATCCATGGCTCTTCTTTACAATACTGCCCATCCGACCACCGCAGACGCCCAAAAATGAGGAAGCACATGTACCCAGCAAAGATCCCAACCTGGTCGTCCCTGGTGGCTGCCAACAGCTCCAAGTAAGCCACTTGATCCGCGGTCAGTGCATCCTTCTTTCTGGGCTCCAGGTCTGCAATGCGATTGATGCAAGCTCCACGGACACGTGCAGATGTCAAAACAGCGTCAACATCAGCCCCAAGCATTCCTTTGCAAAATCCAACCGCCTCCAGAAAACGCGTTGCTCTGGATCTTGGGGCCCCTTCCTTTCGCAGCTCACAAATGTACCGATATGCAAGCTCCTCTGAAATAGGAAAAATCGACACTTCTTCTGGTAAGGACACAGACTTCTTCCAGCGCCCAAAAGACGTGACTGAGGCAACCCTTGTCTTTAAGGTTGAAATTGACTTACCACACAACGCATCTTTGATGACCTCCTTCAGTGCATTCTCATCTGAACTGTCTGCAGACATGAGGCCATGAATCTGTCTGCCCAACGCTGTATGCATGTAACTGTCCAGAATCACAACGCGCCACAATTCCAACACCTTCGACAGCCTAGCTTCTTCAAAAACAGGCCATGGAATCAAAGTAGTCTTTGTTGTCCATGAAGATTTTCCCAAAAGATGTCCTTTTGACACGGTCCTGTCAGGTTCAATGGCTCCTACTGCAACTCCTGGCTCTGGCACCCAAGCTGCAGGCGGAATCAGAGGCCTCTTAGCTCCAAAGATCTCCCTCAGTGGCAACTCCTCCCACGGGAGTAGGATCTTCGACCTTTTGACCCCCATAGAAAAAGCCATGGCATTGAATCTGTCAGAATCCATTCGTCCGGTTTCCCCACTGCTAAATCAAAACGAATGTAAGGGGTTCACGCACTCCACAAAAGCCACACCAGTGTAAAAATGGCTCCTGTCCAAAATGCCAGCACAACTGTGATGCAAGTACAAATTGACACGGAAGTGCACTGTTGAAAACCCAGAAGAATATGTTGGTTGATTGCAACCTGACCACGCTCCACAGCACTGTGCTGTCTCTTAGGCATGGCTCAACCACCGCGCGTGGGGAAGGACGTTCCCGCCCACCCACCCTTAAAAGGAAATGGCCACCATTGTGACATTTCAAGATGTTCCACCGACGTAAAATAAAACAACACTGTTGTTTGTTTTGTTTAAACCATTGTTTAACAAAACAAAAACCTTACCTTTAAAACAGTGACACACTACCTTTGCAGAGTAAACGTCACAGGTAAAGTTGTTTCAGTTGTTTTGGGTTTCAAGTTCACCTTTGTGAGAACCCATCTCGAGAACCCAAAAGCAGCGTGACGCAACACGCAGGACGCAGAGCGCAACATAGGTTAAAGAGGAGGCGCGTACTACTACGCTTACAACGCAACGCAATAAAGAGGTATCACAAGTGAGACCTGGCGTAGTAGTAGTAGTAGTAGTAGTAGTAGTGGTAGTAGTCGTGGTAGTAGTAGTAGTAGTAGGTAGTAGTAATAGTAGGTAGTAGGTAGTAGTAGTAGGTAGTAGTAGTAGGTAGTAGTAGTAGGTAGTAGTAGTAGGTAGTAGTAGTAGGTAGTAGTAGTAGGTAGTAGTAGTAGGTAGTAGTAGTAGTAGGTAGTAGTAGTTAGTAGTAGTAGTAGGTAGTAGTAGGTAGTAGTAGTAGTAGGTAGTAGTAGTAGTAGGTAGTAGTAGTAGTAGGTAGTAGTAGCAGGTAGTAGTAGTAGGTAGTGGTAGTGGTAGTAGTAGTAGTAGTAGTAGGAGGAGTAGGAGTAGTACTAGTAGTGGTAGTAGGAGGAGTAGGAGTAGGAGTAGTAGTGGTAGTAGTAGTGGTAGTAGTAGTAGTAGGAGGAGGAGTAGGAGTAGTAGTAGTAGTAGCAGTAGTAGTAGCAGTAGTAGTAGCAGTAGTAGTAGCAGTAGCAGTAGCAGTAGTAGCAGTAGTAGCAGTAGTAGCAGTAGTAGCAGTAGTAGCAGTAGTAGCAGTAGTAGCAGTTAGTAGCAGTAGTAGCAGTAGTAGCAGTAGTAGCAGTAGTAGCAGTAGTAGCAGTAGTAGCAGTAGTAGCAGTAGTAGCAGTAGTAGCAGTAGTAGCAGTAGTAACAGTAGTAGCAGTAGTAGCAGTAGTAGCAGCAGTAGTAGTAGTAGTAGACTTCATCTTTAAATTCCATCCCCCTCTGCCTCGCTTCACAGACCTTCAGTTTCAATCTGACTTCATCTTTAAATTCCACCACCCCTGCCTCAATTCGGGGGGGGCTTAATCTAAACTTCATCTTTAAATTCCTTCCCCGCTGCCTTGCTTCACAGACTTTCAGTTTCAATCTAGACTTCATCTTAAAATTCCATCCCCCGCTGCCTGGCTTCACAGACCTTCAGTCTCAATCTCGACTTCATCCTTAAAGTCCACCCCCCTCTGCCTTGCTTCACAGACCTTCAGTCTCAATCTAGATTTCATCTTTAAAATCCACCCCTCTCTGCCTTGCTTCACAGACTTTCATTCTCAATCTAGACTTCATCTTTAAATTAAATGCCACCCCCCCTGCCTCAATTCACAGACCTGCAGTCTCAATCTAGACTTCATCTTTAAATTCCCCCCCCCTGCCTTGGCTCACAGACCTTCAGTCTCAATCTAGACTTCATCTTTAAATTCCACCCCCCTGCCTCAATTCACAGACCTTCAGTCTCAATCTAGACTTCATCTTTAAATTCCGCCCCCTTGCCTTGCTTCACAGACCTTCAGTCTCAATCTAGACTTCATCTTTAAATTCCATCCCCCGCTGCCTGGCTTCACAGACCTTCAGTCTCAATCTCGACTTCATCCGTAAAGTCCACCCCCCTCTGCCTTGCTTCACAGACCTGCAGTCTCAATCTAGATTTCATCTTTAAAATCCACCCCTCTCTGCCTTGCTTCACAGACTTTCATTCTCAATCTAGACTTCATCTTTAAATTAAATGCCACCCCCCTGCCTCAATTCACAGACCTTCAATCTCAATCTAGACTTCATCTTTAAATTCCACCCCTCTGCCTTGCTTCACAGACCTTCAGTCTCAATCTAGACTTCATCTTTAAATTCCACCCCCCTGCCTCAATTCACAGACCTTCAGTCTCAATCTAGACTTCATCTTTAAATTCCTCCCCCGCTGCCTTGCTTCACAGACCTTCAATCTCAATCTAGATTTCATCTTTAAATTCCTTCCTCTCTGCCTTGCTTCAGAGACCTTCATTCTCAATCTACTTCATCTTTAAATTCCATTCTCCCTGCCTCATCTCACAGACCTTCAGTCTCAATCTGGACTTCATCTTTAAATTCCACCCCCCTCTGCCTTGCTTCACAGACCTTCATTCTCAATTTAAGACTTCATCTTTAAATTTCACCCCCCTCTGCCTTGCTTCACAGACCTTCAGTCTCAATCTAGACTTCATCTTTAAATTCCACCCCCCCTGCCGCGCGTCACAGACCTTCAGTCTCAATCTAGACTTCATCTTTAAATTCCACCCCCCCTCTG